TAACTGATTGTGGAACCCCTCTTATCAGATTTGTTACATTCAGGCTTAAGTGAATTTTGTTTAAATGTCATTTCAAAATTTGTGCTCTGAAGATGCATATATGACTTTTTTTGCTTTTACTATTTCACTTATGGAAATTCTCTTGGAAGTTCTTAACCCTGATGTAAAATCCTTTCTGCCTCATGAGGAGACTCATAAAACATTCTGTAACTGTTTAATAAAAGAAGCACTTTGTTGGCTGCAAATGGTTAGAGGGGAAGTAGATCAGACCTGTTTTGTTTCCTATTATCTGATTTATTTCTTTGTGCCCCCATTTTTTTCTGTATCTGCCAACACCAAGGGGTCAACTAGACCACCTTATATAGGGATTAATTTAAATTATTATTGCACAACATTCCAATATTCTAAAGCATCCTGTGAATAGTTACTGGAAATGATAAATAGACTGCAAGAGACCAAGAAAACAGTATTATTATAACACTACATAAATATACTTTTTTTTCCCAAGTTAAACATTGAAATGCCTTATTTCCTTCAACATTGTTAAACATGTCATTTTATTAGGTAATACCAGTGTGAGGAATTTAGAATAATTCTTGGAGAATGAATGTTTGTGACTGTGTTTGTGTGTGTGCATGTGTAATGTGAAGCAAAGAATGGAAACATGTAAAATGGGGAGCAAAAGAACAAAGTGTCCTGATCCTTGAGTTTCAACAGAATGTGACAAGAGGTACCCAATAATGTTCAGTTTTCTGTCTTTGTTGAATCTAGTGTCGTATAGATAGCAACACAAGATATAATCTTCCAGAGACATATTTGGCAAGGTTTCTGTAATTTTAGCCAACAAATCCTACTTTCAAACGGAAATTCTAGTAAATTGATTTTTTGTGTGTAAAAATACCAAATATATTACGTGCGTACTAAAATGAGATGATTTCTGGCCAGGGTATGGCAATTTGCCTGAAGACAAAAGAGACCAACATTACCCTAATACAACTGCTGTCCTTAACAGAATATAGCTGTCTAAATAAACAGCTTATTACTGTCAAAACTTGTGATTTCATTATTGGACTACATTTTAAGTGTTACAAGGAGAAGTGGGGAGGTCTATGTTTACACTGGCATACAGCTGTTTGGTTCTGGACTGTATCAGAGTATACCAAAAAATGCAGTCAGCAAACCAACTTTACATGTTAAGGCAGGGAAGGTTAGCGCAGAGCAAATATGTCAGAAAAATCAAGTGAATATGAAAATGAACAGGTTTTGTAAAACCCAAGGGATGAGATTGAGTTCTGACTCAGTGGCTTGATAATGGAACAATACTCAGGTTCTAAGAAAATCTTTTGCATTTCTTAAGGGGGGGGGAAGGCGGGATGGAATGTAAACTCGAGTACAAGGCTTTGCTTTGTGGACATGACCTGTCTCCATTCTTTCTACTCTGGATAGCTAACAGTGACTAAAGAAATAAAAACCTACCCACCAACACATACACCTAATTAAAAAAACTGACCGGGGGGGGGATGTCCAGAAGCTATGACAAATAAAACTTAAATAACTCATAGGTCTGCGCAGGATGGAATGTAAACCCAAGTACAAGGCTTTGCTTTGTGGACATGAGCTGTCTCCATTCTTTCTACTCTGGATAGCTAACAGTGACTAAAGAAATAAAAACCTACCCACCAACACATACACCTAATTAAAAAAACTGACCGGGGGGGGGATGTCCAGAAGCTATGACAAATAAAACTTAAATAACTCATAGGTCTGCAAAAATATCAAATGGGGGAGACATTATGGTGCTGGAGGAGAGCTTGGCATATTCTCTGGACTGCCGGAAAGTGTGTCCTAGATCAAATCACATCTGAACTATTTCTGGAGGCAAAAACGAGGAAATGCAAGGTGTCCTACTTCGAGCACATTGGGAGAAGATAGATCTCTTTGTAAAAGGCAGTGATGCTGGGAAACGTTGAAGGCAGTAAGAAAAGAGGAGGACCACATCTGAGATGGACTGATTCCCTAAAGGAACCATAGGCTTGAGTTTGCATAAGCTAAACAGGGCTGTTGAGGACGGGATTGAGACATCTCATTCATAGGGTTTACCATGTCAAAGGTGACTTGACAGCATGTAGCAACAAGTATATTGGAGCTCCTTTTTTAACGCAACAGCTATGACTGCTATGCACCGAATCTTTTCAGAAAGGCTAAAATTCCATTGATCAGGAGGACCCAGAGCTGGATCTTCTTTACTTGACTTCCCTTTTCCTGCTCTCTGAAGCATTCATGTTCAGGAAATGGGTCTCTATTTGGAACCCATCCTCCCAGTTGTGTGTGTATGAATAATTGTCCTTCATACAGCAGAGGTCAATGAATCTTGAATATCTGTATTTATCTATCTATATACTGTATATTCCAAACATGTAAACAGAGGTGACACAGCATGATGATGGTGCAGAAAATGACATCATTTTCATGTGTGTTTATTGAGAAACAGTAAAGATATACACATTTTTACAAGCTTTCAATATTAATTTACATTTTCTTAAATAATGTTATCTCCAAATAAATCCAGACACTTACATTACATAGACCCTTGGCTTCAATGGTTCCACAAGGCTGCTACTGCTGGGAGTTCAAATGCAGTGTATTGGCTCATGTCAGTTAAGTTGCTCTCTAAAGACACTAAATATCACATTTACTCAAGCATCTAGACATGGCTCCAGAACACCCCTGTCTCCATATACATGAAGCAAAAATCACATCTTAATCTGTAGTGGACATTTCCCATACTCCCTCAACAAATGGAAAGATTTAGATTAGGCTCTTTTGTTAAGTTGTTTCAGGAACAATCAGTTCACTAGCTGAATTTAGACGCATCAGCCAGAATGTAATTGAAAAGCTATGGTGGCACAACTCCATTGGCACAAATCTCAGCAGAAACTACCGCAAATATTTGGTGTAGCATATTGAGTCACACAACTAGTGTGTAACAACAAATGACTGTTCTCAACTTACAATTTACAACTGAGATTTACACTGATGGGGTTATACCAGCAGGTATAGTAGGGTTCTGGCCATACTTGACTGCACAGAAACTTTGTGATACTAGAGTTGGTCCTAATAAGGGTATTGCTGTATTTTGTTTTATGAACATGCTGTTATTTTTTTCATTGTGCTCAAGTTGTTCCTATTTATACTCCAGCCCATAAATACAGTGAAAATCACTCCCACACAATTACAGTGTGTGTGCGGTCTTTCGAAGGAGTGGGCCACACAGCACTATTAACAGCAGGCAATGGCTAATGCATAGGATGCATGTATTTTTAGCCAAGGGCCAGTGAGAAAGAGAAGAGCACTCATTGAGCCCTAAAGGAGTGGACTGTGCCCTGTATTTTGTGCACAATCTGCTTATTGCATCTCTCTACATTTCACTTCAGTGGTTTACTGAATTGAGTCCACCTATCCCTCCATTTCCTTGTATTTACATCAAATCAAATTGTGCTGTATATCTTCTGAAGCACAACACTGAAAGTGCTTAATATTTATGTGCTGCTCCCATTTACAGTATAGTGGTACAGCAACTGCAAAGGCACAATGTTCACTATCTTGATTGCACAAACATTTAAAGCATTAGACAATGTTATCCTTCTGGGTGGTGGGATCTGGATTCAGACGAAAACATTTTTTATTGATTGTGTGTAAAATAAACTGACAATCCAAGTGACTGTAGTTCAACATGCAGAGTGCCATGCTTTATTTGGAATCCAATATATCTTAAATTGTGGCTTGAGTAGAGGTTCGTGAATACCACTTTTCCTATCACCAGAAAAATTTAACTAATTTTACTGCAATTTTTAAAAACATCCCTCGAACTTCCTAGAGATAAACAGGGCCATCAAATTTGAAACTCAGGTAAAATTCAATAGCAACATCTGAATTTTTCATGGAGAGGCAGGTTTACCATTAAGTATTTGACACCATTTATTTTTGTATCCAGAGTTTTGGCAATGTTGATTCCTTTGTCTATCATACAGAGTTTAAAATTTGTGATTATTTTTGCAAATCAAAGTATTTCTGGAACAGTCAACAGAAGACTCAGTGAAGAACAGAGCTGACTCTATAACAGTTGTGATGACATCAATCTTATATTAACCCCAAATAACTGAAATCAAGTATCCTGTAACTAATTTGTATTTTTGTCAAGATAAGATGAGCTTCTTTATACAGTGGTGCCTCGCTTAACGTTTTGTCAAAATAAGATGAGCTTCTTTATATATGTATTTTTTTAATGAAGGGGAAAGATCCTGCAAGAAAGCTTACATTTGCAGCCAAACATGCCACCCCTGCAAACAAAACAAAACAAAACAAAAAAACAAAAAACCCCAGCTCTGTAATTACAATTAAAGTAGAATTGAAGTCTGCAATTAAAAAGAGAAAACTTTGAATCAATAGTGGTCAGAATATCTTATCTAAATTTAACTCTAATTGGGAATCAAAGGCTTCCTGGTCATTTCAGAGCCATTTGTATACTTATCTGTACCTCATAAAGAACAAGATTGCATAATTTTTCACACAACGTATCTGAAATGATGATATTGAGGATTCCCTTTTGCTACCATGTTCAGTTGATGGGGTGGAGGTAGGGGGTGGATTCAGTACAGATCGAGGTGCAGGGCTGCTTCAAAGAACATGGCTATTTTTCTAACTTTAATAAGATGCGATCTTTGGAGATTCAATGATTTTTTTTCTGCATTAGCAAACTGTTTCATGCATGAAGAGAAACTGCAGTTATGAGCCTCTCTTGAACTGCTGTGAATTTTGGTAATGTACAAGAGAGTACAGAAGAGAACATCAGCAGGCAGTCCTTTGCACACTGAGTGAACAGTCACTCTTTTGAACTCTCTCTTGCTGTGTCCTAATTTTATGCACCTTAGCATTGTAAAACCAGGATGCTTACACAGAAGCTTACAAACTATGAAATCAAAAAGGGCTGTACTTCACAGTACATTACAGAGCACTCTTTAAGACAAAATCACATACATATTTCCACTTCCGGGGCTATAAATCCTGCCGTTTTCTCATTAACAGTATACACATGCACTGCATCATAAGACTACATGTCTCATTACATACTACTAAAAAGTACTGTTTACACGCAAAACTGATGTAGGACAAAGGTTGTATTTGAGAGTGATTAATGCAATGTAACCACAAAAGTAGAGAAAAGAATTGTAAGGGTAGTCTGTATAACCCTGTCATTAATGTACAGTATTATTGTCAGGATCTATTCTCTCCCCAAATCTCCTTCTGTAACTGTAGGATAATTGGGAATAATTCCATTCTTTTTCTGCTCCCTAGCTGGCAGGCCCTCAGTCAAGCATGCATGTTCTAAGTGCAGTGATGTACAGCTCCGCAGTCCATTCCTACCCTCACTACTTCACCAAAGATATCAGCCCACAAGGTGCATATGCCGAGAAAACAAATACCTTGTGAACAGAGCCCTGGAAAGGACAGAGGTGTATGTCTGGAATGGTATCACTAATTTATAAAGCACTTCTATATTGTCTTTTGGCCCTAACAAGGGACCCAAAGTCAGTTTACCAGGAAAAATGTTTTCACTTTCATCAATAACACTATCTTCCTTTGACAGTAAATTCTGCAACTGGTATCTTGGATATACAGGAAACACATGTCGTCCTTGCAAACAGTGGCTTACATGCTGTGGTCACACATACTTTCAGAAAAAATAATTTGGAAGTTGGAATCTTGGAGAGAAGAATTGTTGCAGGATATATAAACATACAAATGCACTACTGCAAGTAATGTAAGTACAATACTGCAGGTAAGGGTGAGCAAAGTGTAGTATATATGGGACAAAGGGGCAGCTGGGAAGAAGGAAGGAAAGAAAGCTCTACTGAGATCCATTCTTATCACCATCTATATGCTTGAGTCAAAACCAAATGGAAAAGATTTAATTAAACTGAGTGCTGAAAGAAATGAATGGACTGAAATGAACTTAAATCACACATACAACAAACAATCTGAAGACTAAGATTCGAGTACTAATAGCTATTTCATTTTAGGAAGACATTTTTACCGTTCTAGGTTTCCAGTACCGAGTGGTATTATTTGGCTTTTCTAAGACTTCTGTTTTATTGAGTCTGATACAATCTGGAACTTAAGTTCCCCTTTCCTTTTTTTATTAGCATTCTTTCTTTTTAATTAGTAAATTCTAGGAACACCTTTGGATAGCATTTAACAATGTCCACATATAACCTACTGCATGTTAAATCATAATTTGTGAGAGAGTTAATGGATAGTAACCCCTGCTTTTACACGCATTCCATAAAATCAGACTCATTGTCTGTAAATAATTCACGAATACAACTATTTTGTTTTGATTAAAGACAAAAATAGAAAAAAGGTTTTAAATAACCAGCTTAAAAATTGTTATCTTGCCCAACATCATTCCATTTGCCTGACATCCTCTTATGTGCCTCCTACAGTCAGTGGAATTATTAAGAAACTAAATATAAACACTAGCTCTCCATTATTATCATCCCCCCCTTACTGCAACAAGCACTTAAGAGCTTTTGATGCAGCGTTGCTCTTTGATTACTTGAATCTGAAGTTTGGTCATGTCAAAAACTAGCACAAAAATTTATTTATTTTTATCTACACAGTCTTAAACCAATGTTAAACCATTGTAACACACAAACAAGATCTTGTCTTTTAAGGCACAATGCATCATTATGCACATTCCGCTCGCCAAACTTATAAAACAGACAATAATTATTATAATATAACCCCATCCCACACACCTCCAAAATGAAAGAAATAAATTGCATCAATTTCCCAAGTCAACCACTAATAACGTCACAGTAAATTATTTTCATCAATAATTTACACATATTACAGATCTGGACAGGATTGTCATCATACAGTCTAAGTGCATTCCAATTCAGATTTTCTGGGCTAGGTAGGTAGACTAAAGTTTGATTCAAACCTCAGTGGTGAGAATATATCCCATAGTGAGGAATGTTGTTGAATACCACCTTTGTTGATCAGAAAATGCATGTCACTGTTTTGCCAGTATGAGTCCATTGCAAAAGCTATTCACTCTAGTTAGGGCTCATTTGGTGTGCTCCAGTAACCTCCTTTTATAGTTCTTTAATAACCAAAATGCTCTGTATATAAGACCATATAGAGAATCCTTGTATAGAATTAAAAGCTGTAACTCCATTCAGTAATCTGAATTCTTCATAATGGAATTTTCATCCAGAATATTGCTTTTCCTTCTTAAGACCATCACGTATGTGTAAAGCCGGAGGCATCGGATCACACATAAAAAATTCAGTGTACTTTGCAATATAAAAAGAATCTGTCAGCTATGTAGGAAGAGTTACAAATACTCTAACTCCAATGCTTGGTGTAGAGCCAAAAGGTCTGAGTGACTAGATATCCTCCAAAAAGGCATGTTGTGCTGTGTTTGTTAAGGGGAAAAGATGAGAAAAAAATGAGTAACATATTTCATAAAACAGTTCCATACATCTACTTTCATCTATACCTTGAAATTTAAAGAATTATTCTGGTTTTTCTTAGTAAAACAAAAGACACCCCCCCCAAGCCCAAACAGATCTGAACTAAAATTTTAGGTAAATATTCTTATTTATATTAAGCAAGGATAAAAAAATAATTCTGCTCAAACTTTATTATCCAATTATTAAAGCTGATGAAGTCACTTTCTAGAAGACAGTAATGTATTTTTCTGTAGAAGTTATGCTGTATACATTACTTTAAATATGGGTAAGTCTGAATCACTGCAGGCAGATTCACTGCAGGCACAAGTGTAAAAACATGATTTCTTCAGATTTTAGGATTACTGTGAACAAACAGATGAGTGTTTCACAAATCTCCTTTAAGTGCCATCAGTGAAATATCTCAAAGGAAACTTCCAAATTTCTCTCCTCCAAATAGATACACAAAGTGTGCCCACAACTGGAACTTCATACTTTCTCCTTGTTTTGAAGCAACAGAGATTTTCTTCCCAAGTGAACTACACTTCTTCTGTCATTAGAATTGTGATTTGTTTCTAAAGAACTAATATGAAGCCAGCTGTGACTTTGTTTTCTGTGAATTAATTGTTTCAGTGAATTAATACTAATATTGACATAATCACGTGAAGCTGTTATTGCCCCATAAATGAAAGGTCTATTTTTATGTTATCGGTATCAACCAATGTGATGTTATTGTCAGATGTCTTTGAAATGAGAAAACAGCTTTTAAAATTAAAAGACTATGAAGAGCAGAACTGCACATGGGTTCACGGAATTTTAAGAACCTGGCTTTCATTCAGTTCAGATCTATTTGTTGAAAAACTTCAGATATAACTTCCACAAATGTTCATGCAAGCAACAGTTAGAGGAAAGCATGCCAATCATACAGTAAAGAAACCAACCACCTGGCTTTCTGAACAGGCTGCAAGACAAACCCAGCACCTGTACTGCATCTATTTAAAGCAACCATTTGGAACCAGCATTTAACTGGTAATAAAACTGCTATAGTCAAAGACCAAACCAGAAGATTCTGTTATAAAAATGTTTAGAACTGTCCCAGGAATAGGACAGTTTTGTATAACTTAATTGTAAGCCACAAAGTATATATCTGCTCCACACTTTTATAATTATTCTGGAACATGTTGAACTTTGGAATATTTCAACTTAGGTAGAAATCACTACAGGTGTGCAGAGCGTTGAGTACTATAGCTCCCATAAGTATAGGACTTGTCCAAAAGCACAAATCCACATGGTAATAATAAGGACTAATGAACTTCTAAATGTGCTTACTGTAATTACTTCACAAGTACAGAAAAAAGTACTTGGTGATAACTTTTATGTGCACCAAATTCAAATTCTGATGGTACAGAAATATCCTAATGTAATTATTCCTCATAAATACAGAAGAATGTGGAGGATCTGTGGGATTTTTACATTTTAGATTGTAAACTGCCTAGAGCACAGTGTGCACTAACGGGGCAGTATATAAAGCAAATAGATAAGTAAATAAATAAATAAATAAAGAACCACATTCTTCCGAGTCAATTGTTTACAAAGCTCCATTTGTACAGTTTAATGGGAGGAACAGTTTTGTACATGCAAAAGTGCAGCTGAGCCCTATGGAACAAAAATCAATTGCCTTTTAAATCAAGCTCTTTAATACATTGATACTTTTTATTTTGTAATAGCTGGTTTTGCATGCCTTTCTTCAAAAAATTTCTCAAAAGCCATAAATTTTATTGTCAAATATATTTACTGACTTAATTTGCCTGACATTACTCTTCCTCATGCAAACTATCATAAAGCATATGCTTGAATCCAAATGGTTTAATTGCAAGTCTTATATCTTCAAATCCTGGCATATACCAACCAACTTGAATCATTTGCCAGTGTGCTATACTAATAGAAATGCAAACAAAGTAAGCTTGCATCAGTATTTTGTATCACACCAACATTTCATGAGACAGATTACCTTTTTGGCTGCCTGTTCTTCTTCTACACCATCCCCAATTACAACATATACTACTTTTCTGCCAAACCTTTGCATTATTCGTTCAAAGCAACTTTCTTTTCCTGGAAGATAAATGAGATACAGTTCAGCAAGAAGTTACCTGGTTAGCTGCATGCTCTTCATCTCGGCCATCTCCAATCACAACATAAGTTATGTTAGTGCCAAACCTGGACACTATACGTTCAAAACAGCTTTCTTTTCCTGAAAAACAATGCACTACTTATTCGAGCTATCAAAAAGAGGTATCACAAAGATCTATGAAGGTCAAAAGATGAGGAATTCTAAAAACAATGTTTTCAGATCACCTGGGCTCTAGTTACTCCCTAGTTAAAATTAAGGAAAATGAATTCAATTAGGTGTATCTAATGACTGTATATGTGTCCTAAATTAATAAAAAATTAAGTTCCTCACTGTAAGATACTTTACAAATAAAGGCCAGTATCCTTGGGTTGGCAGTAAATACTGTAAAGCTTGAATGGTGCTTTATCATTCTCAGCCTCATGATGGCTAAAGTCTTGGTGAGAGATTGTGAGAAGAGATGCTCCTGCTATGAGGCTGCAATACTGAACTGCAGTATTGGAGAGTCACTTGTACAAAACCTTTTCTTCTTTTAATGAGCCAACTAGAGCAAGGCTTGAATGGACCAGGCGTGCTTGGCCCTTTCTCTTTTTTCATCTTACGTTCACTGGGCAGTGGTTTGATTTCCCTTTCAATTTTTCCTAGCATTATCGGTATAGTTTTTGAGAAGACTTTGCAAGCAAGGAACCCTGTCTGAGTTCAACTACCCACAAGAAAGCTGGAAATTGTCTGTGGGTGAAGGGTCAAGGATTCAAACATCCATATTCAAGCGTGAAACTTTTGAATAAGGAAGGATTCAGTCCCATAAAAGCAACACAACCACGATCCATGTTATTACAAAGACAGTGTTCATTAAAGTGATATATAAATTATGTCTATTACCTGTGATTAAATACATTAATACATTATATTTGGCCTTCTGTTCTTTACAGAGTTCTAAGCAAATTGCTTATGTCTATTAAAAATGTCATATTTTCTGGAAAGGTTGGGATCTGTAAATAATTCAAGCTTAAGGAAACTTAATTTCCTTACCTATTTTAGTAGCACTGTAAATATTTTCAATAGGAAAAGCACCTCCTAAACTATACAGCAGGACTTTAGCGAGAGCTGGTATAAGTTGGGTTGTTGTTACCAAGACATTTACACAGTTACTCCTACAGGAAGAGACGGGGGAAAAACACAATATAACGATGAAACATATTTTCCTAAAAGAAATTGACTGCATACCTGGAATGAATTTTTACTCCAAATCTATTACTCTTATTTATCAGTAAAAAAGAGAAGTTACTTACTTGTAACTCTAGTTCTTCGAGTGGTCATCTGTGAATTCACATTAATGGGTTAATCTGCGCCTGAGCAGAGATCTCCGGAATATTGTAGAGCTCAAACATGCATTCACCAGGGACCGCGCCCCTCCAGTACACGTGGTCTACCCATCCTGGTGATTGCCTCAGTTCCCAAACAGCCCACCGCTGTATAGAATAAACAGATGTGATGGACGGAGGGGAGGCTGGGTGGGAAGTGTGAATTCACAGATGACCACTCAAAGAAACAGTTACAGATAAGTAACCTCTCTTTCTTCTTTGTGGTCTCTGTGAATGCACACTAATGGGTGACTAACAAGCTTACCTCTCAGGAGGAGGGACATCATGGAAGAACAGAAGACAAAATTGCTCGACTGACGGCAGTATCTGACTTGGCCCACACATCCAATCGATAGTGGGATGCAAAGGCCAATGGAGTGGACCAAGTAGCAGCCTTACAAATATCAGGGACAGGTATGCCTTTAAGAAAGACCGTAGAAGTAGCCATTGCTCTAGTGGAGTGTGCCTTAATCTCAGTAGGCAATGGTTTCTTTGCAAGTTCATAAATAGGTCGTATGGTGTGGACAATCCAATACGAGATAGTTTGGGGGGGAGATATGATTTCCCCTATGTGGGGGATGAGTGGAAAGAAAGAGTCTCTTAGACTTGCGTGCTCAAGAGGTGTTGATGGCTGCGGGAAGAAAGCAGGTAAGATGATGGGCTGGCGGACGTGGAAACCAGAAACAACCTTAGGCAGAAAGGAAATATCGGGGTAGAGTGTGACTTTGTCCGGGTAAAACTGCAGAAATGGGGGATCTAATCAAAGAGCTGCAAGTTCGGATGCTCGATGTGATAGCTACTAGAAACAAAACTTTAAACGAGAGCAGCCGTTCAGATGAGGTTGCGAGAGGTTTGAAAAGTGGCAGTATAAGGCGTTGTAGTACAGTATGCAGTACAGTATGGGAAAGGAGTACGACAAGGCTGTATATTGTCCCCCAGCTTATTCAACTTATATGCAGAATACATCATGCGGAAGGCTGGACTGGAGGAATCCCAAGCCGGAATTAAGATTGCCGGAAGAAATATCAACAACCTCCGATATGCAGATGACACCACTCTGATGGCAGAAAGTGAGGAGGAATTAAAGAACCTTGTAATGAGGGTGAAAGAGGAGAGCACCTCCTGGGAAATAGAAGGGGAAGATATGGAGGCAGTGTCAAATTTTATCTTCCTGGGCTCCATGATCACTGCAGATGGAGACAGCAGCCCCGAAATTAAAAGACGCCTTCTTCTTGGGAGGAAAGGGATGACAAATCTTGACAGCATCTTGAAAAGCAGAGACATCACCTTGCCAACAAAAGTCCGAATAGTCAAAGCTATGGTTTTTCCTGTTGTGATGTATGGAAGTGAGAGCTGGACCATAAAGAAAGCAGACCGCCGAAGAATTGATGCCTTTGAATTGTGGTGCTGGAGGAGGCTCTTGAGAATCCTCTGGACTGCAAGGAGAACAAACCTATCAGTTCTAAAGGAAATCAACCCTGAGTGCTCACTGGAAGGACAGATCCTGAAGCTGAGGCTCCAGTACTTTGGCCATCTAATGAGAAGAAAAGACTCCCTGGAAAAGACCCTGATGTTGGGAAAGTGTGATGGCAAGAGGAGAAGGGGACGACCGAGGATGAGATGGCTGGACAGTGTCTGCGAAGCAACCAACATGAATTTGACACAACTCCGGGAGGCAGTGGAAGACAGGAGGGCCTGGCGTGCTCTGGTCCATGGGGTCACGAAGAGTCGGACACGACTAAACGACTAAAGGACGAATACAGTATGCAAAGACCACCGTGGTGGGGGAACAGTTCTAGTTGGTCATAAATCAGCAACACCTCGTAAAAATTGTTTCAAAGTAGGGTGTTTGAATAACAAGACAGCATCAGAGTCCTTGGGTTCGTGTGCTACAACCACTGATAAGTAAACTTTAAGTGTAGATAAGGAAAGGTGACAGTCAAAAAGATGAGACAGGAAAGCCAGTACTGCTGAAAGAGTAGTTGAAGTTGTAGGTAGGTCCTTTTGGTGAGCAAATTTTTTAAATGTGGACCATTTGTACTCATGAAGTTGATTAGTCAAAGGTTTCCTTGCACGAGCCAGAATAGTGTTCAAAGAAGATGGCTCCTCCAGGCCGTAAGGTGAAGAGACTGGAGGTTGGGATGGTACGTCTGTCCTTGATGTTGAGTGAGAAGGTGGGGAATCAGCGGGAGATTGGAGGTTGGGATGTCCTTGATGCTGAGTGAGAAGGTGGGGAATCAGCGGGAGACAGACTGTTGGACGCCATCGACTGCAACATGGTGAACCACGGCTGTCTCGGCCACCAAGGAGCTATGAGTATGCCATTTGAGCAATTGTGTCGTAGCTTGATGATGGCTCGTAAGAGAAGGAGGATTGAAGGGAAGAGGTAAAGGAGGTGCAAGGTCCACCTTGACATGAGAGCACTGCCAAGAGAGTTTGGTCCTATGCCTGCCCTGGAGCAATATAGGGCACATCTGGTGTTGCGTTCTGTGGCAAAAAGATCTATTTTGGGACAACCCCATCTGTCGCACAGCTGGAGGGATATGTAATAATCAAGAGACTATTTGTGCATCTGTGAGTGAAGGCTGCTGAGAGTATCCACCAGTTGGTTGTGTCCGGTAGGAATGTGGATCGCTATGGGAAAAACATGGCGGGATAGGCACCATTCCCAAAACTGAACAGTGAGAGTATACCGCCCTGTTTGTTGATGTAGTAAAGCGCTGTAGTGTTGTCTGTGGTCACCTGGACCGCAGTGCCAGTAATGAGAGGCTCGAAAGTGCAGAAAGCTTTGAAGATGTACCTCTACCTGGCTAAGGTAAAGGCTGCCAGTCGTGCATACTTTACTAACCGGATAAGCGAAGCATCCAACCAGCAGGCGGAGTTATTCCGTATAGTGCGCGACCTATCCAAATTTGGTCTGAGTGATGGGCCTCCCCCTAGCTTTTTACCGGACCAATTTGCCGCATTTTTACAATCTAAAGTGGAGGCCATCCGCCGGGAGCTCTCTCCTTTTTTAAATACAGTGAGTCAAGCAGAGATGTCCAGTGCTCCGTCTTGTCCGGTGATCCTTGATCGCTTTCAGCCCGTGACGCCGGATACTGTGTACAAAGCACTTGATCACTGTCGTGCCACCTCCTCCTCCCTTGACCCTTGCCTGGCCTGGCTAATCAAAGCAGCCAGGCCTATAACAACAGAACGGGCCACAGCAATAATTAATGAGTGTCTCCCCTCAAGGAGACACCCATTAGGCCCATAAGAAAGAAACCTAACTTGGCGGCGGAGAAAATTGGCAATTATAGGCCCGTCGCCAATGTTTCTTTCATCAGCAAAGTGGTGGAGAGGGTGGTGGCTGACCAGCTTCAGGCTCTTTTGGATGAAACAGATGTCCTGGATCCATTTCAGTCGGGCTTCAGGCCGCGCCATGGTACAGAAANCCCTCCTGTCTTCCACTGCCTCCCGTAGTTGTGTCAATTTCATGTTGGTTGCTTCGCAGACACTGTCCAGCCATCTCATCCTCTATCGTCCCCTTCTCCTCTTACTGTCACACTTTCCTAACATCAAGGTCTTTTCCAAGGAGTCTTCTCTTCTCATGAGATGGCCAAAGTACTGGAGCCTCAGCTTCAGGCACCATGGAGACTCAATTCTGGGGTTCCGCAGGGCTTGATTATTTCCCCAATGCTATTTAATATCTACATGAGGCCACTCGGTGGGGTCATTAGGGGGTGTGGACCATTGTGCCATCAGTACACTGATGACACCCAGCTCTACATCTCCTTTTCACCAACTGCAGAGGATGCCGTTCTGTCCTTTCAGAGCTGCTTGAAGGCTGTACTGCAGTGGATGCAGGGAAATGGGCTGAGGCTGAACCCGGACAAGACGGAGATCCTGAGGTTTGGGAAACTCCCTCTGATTTTGGGGGGTGACTCTCACCACGAAGAGTGAGGTTCGCAGCCTGGGGATCCATCTGGAGCCAGCACTCACCATGGAGACTCAGGTGGCGTTGGTGGTCCGTACCCCCTTTTTCCATCTTTGGCGGATAGCCCATCTGTGACCCTATCTCGATACATTGGTTCATGCGCTCACTACCTTGGTTCAGGCACTCGTAATCTCGAGATTAGACCACTGTAATGCGCTCTACGTGGGGCTATCTTTGAAATTGAGGCAGAGACTCCAAGTGGTGCAGAATGTGGCGGCCAGACTCCTTAGTGGAGAAAGAAAATACCACCATATTTCTCTTATTTTGGCCACGCTGCATTGGCTGCCCATTCGGTTCTGTGTTGACGTCAAAGTCTTGATGCTTACGTATAAAGCCCTAAACGGTTTAGGGCCTTGATACTTGGTGGAACGCCTACTCCCACCAAGCTCTACCCGTGTCACTCAAGCGAGTCAGGAAGTGAGGCTGAGGAGCCTGACACCGAGGGAGGCCCGGATAGAAAAAACATGAAACTGGGCCTTCTCGGCGGTGGCTCCTCGCCTCTGGAACAATCTGCCTCCAGAGATTCACGCGGCTCCCTTGCTGGGTATTTTCAAAAACCAATTAAAAACATGGATGTTTAGGCAGGCCTTCCCTCCAGTTAATTTCTGATTCTCTCCCCTTCTTTTTCTCTTCTGGTTCATTTTTCATTTGTTCTCCATCTTGAAGAATTGCCTATTTAGTGTAATAATTCTTTTTATATATATTTATTCTCGTATTTTGTGTTGTAAGCTGCCTAGAGTGCTCGCAATAACCAGATAGGCAGGATATAAATAGAATGAATAAATAAAATAAATAAAGATCACAAGCAACTCCAGATTGTTGATATGAAGAGTTTTTTCGTAAGGAACCAAGTGGCATGAATGTGTAGGTCTCCGCAGTGTGCACCCCAACCGATAGAACTGGCATCAGTGGTAATTTGGGTTGTCAGTTGGAGGTGTGCAATGGATCTGGCCGAGGGAAAGGTTGATCAGGACAATCCACCATATCAATTGATCTGCAAGTTCGGGGGTGACTTGCAGGAGTTTGGTAAGCGGGTCAGAGAGGGCGTCGAAAAGGGAAAGGTACCAAGCTTGTAATGAGTGCATCTTTAAACCTGCGTGTTGTATAACTGACGTAGTGGAGGCAATGGTGAGTGGCATTTCCAAGCTACGGTACTCTGCTTTGATGGTACCAGCTGAGTAGACTGATTTGACTTATGACAAGGTTTGGCGTTATCTATCAGATATCATGAGTTCAGCCGAAGAAGATCTGGAATTTGAGGGGTTAATGACAGCTGAGGAAAATGCTGGGCAATCAGAATCGCAGACAGCTGAATCACCACCAGATTCTCCTCCCCCAGTAGCCAGAGTGAGGGATAAGCTTCGGCAAGGACTCATGACACAAAGGTCAGAGGCTCACATGAATGCTTCCCATAGGAAAATCAGGTTGACCAGCCCTGAGTTTTAGCAGGATGAAGTGTTTAGATGACTGCTGCTGCTATAAAATCTGCACCCAGAGGCTTGGAAATTTGTGAAAGCAACAAGTCAATACTCTAGCTTGCATCCACGCTCCTGCTTATCTTGGACCTTGTTCTCTGAACCCTTGGCTTTGGACTCTGACTTCTGACTATGGTTTGTGTTTTGACATTTTGGTATCTGCTTTGCATCTGCTGGACTTCTGATATTGGATTGGCTCACTGGACTTTTGCCTGTTGAAACCCCCTGGGAATGTGACAATCGAACATGAGAGAGTGTGGCCAATTCAGAAGAAACTTTAGTTGAAGGTCTTGGTTTCTTTGGTACTGAGGGTAGCTCAGTCAAGGTAGCCTGAACATGGAATTGTTTATGAGCCTTGTGTATTTTTGGTACCGGAGGATGTTGAGTTTGAATATCATCATCTGATGAGTGATGGTAAGACTTCCTCGGATGGTATTGAGGGGATAGTGGAGAGTCCGAAGAATCAGACAGGTAATATTATGTGTATTGAAGATGCTTGGGTTGGATGTAATGCTCGGTATCGAGCTACCAATATCAATATGAAGGATGTTGATATCATTTGGGAGAGGGCTCGTGATAGACAGGAGGCTCGTAGACAGTGATCTTTTTAGGCTGATGGTGTCGAGCCAAGAGCCCATCGATACCGACAGTCCCGAATGAGTTGGAGGCTGTACATGACCAGTATCAGAACGGCTGGTGTCTTGTATATGGTGGAGCTTAACCTTCCTCCTACGTGAGGGTATTGGGTCAGCAAGGATAGATGCTGAATCAGACTCACACCCAGACACTGAGCAACCCAAAGACTTGGTGCTCGAACAGGCCGAATGTGGAAGAACAGTTACTTCAGCTGAGGTATCTGCCCATGAAGGCGATTGGGCCAACAGAGGAGAGGGTGGTTGACCGGATGGAGGTGGAATGGAGTCACGGTCAGAATCCAGTTGTATAGTGGGTTGATCTTGAGTTGCAGGCTGTTGAACAAGAGGCTGAGAATCAATGGAAGATTTCTTTGATTTTTTTGGTTTGGAGCTGACTGGATTAGAAACGGCTTTCGGTGTCAGGGTTGACTGAGACGTCAATCCTGAAGACCTCGATTTCGGCAATTTCAATTTGATTTTAGTGGTTGCCAGTAATGGAGAGCTGACAGTAGAAGGTGCCGGGGGTGACTGTGAAGTCTGTGTTTCATCCATGGTAGCTGGTGGACGTAGGGATCATTCTCACAGAAAAGATTTAAGTCATTGCTGACGAAGCTTGATGGCTTGTTTGGTAAAATTTTTACAAAAGGAACAAGCAGCTGGCTGGTGAGATTCCCCAAGACAAAATAAACAAGAATCATGGCCGTCAGAAAGAGGCAGTTTGTTTGGGCAAGAAATGCACCTCTTAAATGGCCATGCCATAAAGGACAGGGAGGAGGGGAATAGCAAAAAGGGAGGGAAGAGGGGCCAAAGGATCGAAATGTCTTAGAAGTCCCAAATATTTAGTCTATCTTCTATTTACAGTCTATTGTCAAAGGAATTAATATTTCTATGTTGTTTATTTCTCTAGAGGAAGAACCAAGAAGTGCGAACGGAGAGCTCATCAAGAGATGAGACCTCAATGGCGGCAAAAAGGAACTGAGGCAATCGCCAGGATGGGCAGATCACGTTTATTGGGGGGGCGGCGGCCCCTGGCGAATGCATGTTTGAGCTCTAAAATATTCCGGAGATCTCTGCGCAGGCACAGATTAACCCATTAGTGTGCATTCAGAAGAGACCACGGAGAACATCACAATCAAAGCTTAAATGGCCTTCTGTACAATTCTGATAACAGCTAATTTTTATGAACAAAAAAACAGAGGCGCCTTTGTGCCAGATTATGGAAAATAAATCACCATAATGATTTCATTTTTTCCTTTCTGCCACTACTCAGGCTTCATTGAACTGCAATGTGTTTTCAAAATTGCTTTTAAAAACCTTACTTGTTACAAATACATAATAACTCTTTCTGTTCGGATATATAGGTTTGCTGGAATTGTTTTCTTTATGTTTATATACTATTTGGCTTTCACTGTCAGGCTATAAATGCTTTGTAGTAGTTGTTGTTATTCTTATTCCCAATTCTACCTCATCTTTCCACTACTCGGTTGTGCTCAAGGCTGCTTACAATATTCATAACACATAATAAAAACTAATTTAGCCACAGAATCATTGCACTAAAATAAAACCAAAAAATGTCTAAAAGAATCATTAAAATAAATTAAGTCTTCAAATAGTTAACATAACCACTACAACTTTAAGAATATCACAATCCAATTTTAAAAATATGTGTCTTCACACCATTTGTAAATCAGGCAGAATGGAAACTGATCACAACTCTGAAGAGAATACATTTTGCAGTTCTAGAGGCATGTAGGAGAAACCGTTCATATTCACAGGAAGTGGTGCCAGTAAAACCTTCCTGCCCTCCCTTTGCCATAACATTAGAGAGAGAAAGATGATGGGGTTGGCACCAACTGGGGCTCTACTTCTCACAGCACTAAAGGAGAAAAAAAGGAGGCAGAGGAAAAAGGCAGCCCCTGGACTGCGCCCAGAAAGGCAGCTACTCCAATACTTCTCCTTTCAGTAATACCTGCCCCTCTAAGGCTCTGGCTCTCTATGTGATGCAATTCTGCAAGCCACTCTGAGAGCTAACCAAAACAAAAAACAAACAAACAAAAAAAGGCAGCCGTACAGATAATTTTCTGACTGTCCCCACCAGTGCTTTGGTGCACGGTGGGAAATAGGAGGTGTTCAGATAGATATCTTTTCTGAAAGCTGCCTTCTTCTCCTTATCCCTGCAGATTTTTATTTGCACAGTCTTTTTCAATTTTTCCTTTAATCCTATGGAAAAGAAAGCTTGGATGACTGAGGAATCATAGAAAAAGATGGCAATTAAGAGTGGTAATTACAGTGGCAGTTCTCCAGGGCAGCATGGCTTTCCTGTTGCTGCAGTGTGCTTTTCAGATAGATATGCAGCCTGATTTACCCCAACACGCCTTTAAATGATGCTCTAGCTGTCAGCCCTACTATTTTATTACTTTTTTTCTCTTAATGAAATAATTCAGATCCAGCAAATACCTGGGGCAGACCTTCTTAATTGTTCCATCATTTTTGTGGAGGTTCATATCAGTGGCCAGCCTGATACAAGTAGGTTATCTGAAGGTGGAGGGAGTATCTGTCTCTCACAATAGAGACCGATGCTCCCTCCACCTTCAGATCACCAACTGCTTGTGTGAATTCCATTCCAAAGCTGAAGGACCAAAACCATAGGACTTCATGCTGTAGCTATACAGTCACATAACAATTGTTTTATGCTGAAGGTTGCTCTAAATGTAATAACTAAACTTGAAACTCTAGGGTGGTTATAGCTAATTGGAAAGGCACATGCTTGCATGCAAAAAGCCCCAGTTTAAATCCCTTGGATCTCCAATCAGGACTAGAACCTCTGCTTGAAACACTAAAAAGACACTTAAGTAAACAAAAACAAGCTACTAACAAGGCAGGTTTCTACATGCCTAATTAGTCTGCTAAAATGTTAGAATGACTGGACACACTGATTTTCTTTTAATGCTATTCTGACACATAGGCATTGATATTTTAAGCAGATACTTACCTTGTACTAATAATTGATAACGATTTAAGTGCATTTGTCAGCCAGGAGTCAGTAAGAGCTTCAATCTCTGCTCTTAACTGCAGCCATGCATCTCTTTTTGCAGGGCCGAGGAGTCCTGATACATAAATGAAAACAGATACTCTTAATACTACATTCAGTTTTACCAGGAATTGTCACAAGCTGCAGTGAAATATGGATCTGGGCCATCTATTCCTCAACGCCCTTTTATCAAATTAACCTGTCAGTCAATGTAAAATAATGAGTAATGTGCATTAAACTGTTTTACAGAAGAAAGAGAGATTACTTACCTGTAACTTTGGTTCTTTGAGTGGTCCTCTGTGAATTCACACTAATGGGTTAAGTCTGCGCATACGCAGAGGCCTCAGAATATTCTGGAGCTAAAAAAACGCTAGGGCCGCCCCCTCCCCGAGCCCACGTGGCCCGTCCATCCAGGCAGTTACCTCAGTTCCCAATTTCCGCTGCTGCTCAAAAAGAGAGACAGACGTAACAGACAGAGGGGAGGACAGGCGGGAAATGTGAATTCACAGAGGGCCACTTGAAGAACCAAAGTTACAGGCAAATAACCTCTCTTTCTTTTTTGTGGCCTCTGTGAATGCACACTAATGGGTGATTAACAAGCTTATCTTTATATGGTGGAGGGACGTCACGGCAACACAGAAGATAAGACCGCATGTTCAAAATGGGCATCCTCCTTGGAACGGACATCAACCAAGTAGTGGGATGCGAATGTAGAGGGCGTGGACCAGGTGGCTGCCCTGCAGATGTCTTGAAGTGGAGCACCTCTCAGAAACACCGTGGAGGTAGCCACTGCTCTGGTAGAGTGAGCCTTTATGGAGCCCGGAAGGCGCTTGCGGGCCAGTTCATAGGCAAGGCAAATAGTCTGGATGAGCCACCTCGACATAGTCTGAGGGAAGACTTGCTGTCCCCTGTGAGGCAAGTGAGGGAAAATAAAAAGACATTTGGATTGCTGGAATGGAGTAGTCCTCTGAATGTAATAAGATAACGCCTGGCGAACATTTAACAGGTGTAAAGACTTCTCAACAGGAGGAGACGGTTGAAGAAAAAAGGTAGGCAGGATAATACGCTGGCGAACGTGAAAAACAGAACATTAGGAAGGAATGAGACATCCCGATAAAGGGTTACTTTGTCCGAATGAAATTGGAGAAAAGGTGGGTCAACTCGCAAAGCCACAAGTTCTGAGGCTCTCCTGGCCGAAGTAATTGCCACTAGGAACAAGACTTTGTGAGAAAACGCTCAGAAACTGTGGCCAACGGCTCAAAGGGAGGATATATCAAGTGGTTCAAGACAGTGTGGAGTGACCACTGTAGGTAGGCAGTACCCGTGGAGGGTTCAGGTGTGCCACACCGCAAAGAAACCATTTAACTGTGGGTTGGCAGAAGAGAAGAGCAGTATCCGAGTCAGGTGGCTGGTGCACCACTATGGCAAACAAATACACCTTGAGTGTAGACAGCAGCAGATGATTGTCCAATAGGTAAGAAAGGAAGCTTAAGACGGCATCCATAGAAGTCAGTGAGAGTGGTAGGTTACATAAAATTGTGAGTTTTTTGAATGCAAGCCACTTGCTCCTGTGTAAGTTTTTTGTTGAAGGCTTCCAACAGTGAGAAAGAATGATATAGGGTACTATTCTCCGAGCGGTTAGGTGTAGAGAGAGTATGTCCGGGTGATATGTGGGCCCGTTGTGCTGTGTGAGAAGGTGTGGAAGCGATGGAAGTTTCAAGTCCAGAGACATAGTTGTCAGCATTGTGAACCACAGCTGACGTGGCCAACAAGGGGCAACGAGAATGACATCTACATTGTCGTGATGTATCTTGACAATAGTCCTTAGAATGAGAGGAATGGGGGGAAACATGTATAGGAGATGTTTGTCCCATGGAACCATGAGAGCATCGCCCCTCAAACCAACTCCTATCCCTGCTCTGGAAAAATAAGCCACACACTTGGTGTTGTCCCATGTGGCGAATGCATCTATGTCCAGATATTCCCATTTCCTGCAAATGTGGAGGAAAACGTCCTGATTGAGGACCCATTCATGCATTTGGGCTGTTGTCCTGCTGAGATGGTCTGCCCAGGCATTGTCTTGTGTGGAGATATGAATCATTGATGGAAAGATATGGTGATCCAGACACCACTCCCAGAACTGAACTGTCAGGTATAGGAGAGGAGGAGAATGTGTGGCCCCCCTATTTGTTTATGTAGAACATGGTTGCTGTATTGTCCATAATTATTTGTACTGCCATTCCCGTTATGATCGGAAGAAAGGCATGGCAGGCTTTGAAGATTGCCAAGAGTTCCAGGTTGTTGATGTGGAGTTTCCGTTCTTTCGACGACCACGTAGCATGGACCTGAAGGTGGTTGCAATGAACTCCCCAACCTACCAGACTGGTGTCGGTGGTGATTTGTGAGGTAAGAAAGAGTGAAGCAAAGGTACAACCCATGAAGAGATTGTCTGGATTGACCCACCAGGAGAGTTGCTGTGCTAACTTGGGAGAGACTTGGAGGTGCATGCTGGGTGGGTCGACAAGGGGACCGAAGAGAAAAAGATATCAGGCCTGAAGAGACCTCATCTTTAGTCTGGCGTGCTGGATTACAGATGTCGTGGACACCATGAGACCTATAAGCTTTTGTGTTTGATGAGCTGTTATATAGTTTAGAGGTGTGAAGTGATGAATTAAGGTCCGAATCTTGACCGCACGTTCCTGCGGGAGAAATGCTCTTGCCTTTTTGGTGTCTAATATGGCACCTATGTAGCTTGCCACTTGAGACGGAATCAACATTGACTTTACAACATTGACTTGAAGTCCTAGGTGTGTTAGTAAGGACAGTGTAGTGTTGGTGTGACGCACTGCTTGATGCTTTGAGTGAGCCACCAGAAGCCAATCATCTATGTACAGATACATGGCGATCCCTCTCGTGCAAAGGAAAGCTGCCATTGGTGCCATACATTTTGTGAAGACCCAAGGAGCTGTAGAAAGACCGAATGGCAAGGTGATGAACTTGAAGCAAGTGCTTCCAAGAGAGAAGCGAAGATATTTGCGGTGGTCACGTCTGATAGAAATATGAAAGTATGTGTCACTCAAGTCGATTATTGAGAACCAGTCACTGCAATGGAGTAGCGGAAGAATGCGCTCTAAGGGACCATACGGAAACGGAGGTAAGTAATGAAGATATTTAGATCCCTTGGGTCTAAAATAGGGTGAAAGGACTTGTCCTTTTTTTGGAACCAAGAACTGTCTGGAGCAGAAACCTGAATCAGCGGGGACTGGAGAGGTAGGGGATATGGCTGATTTGATTTTTCTAACTTTTATTTCTCTTTTGAGGGCGGCGTAAGGTGTGAAAATGACTCTTGGTGGAAGAAAGTCCATGAACTCTATGGCGATGTAGTTAGCAGCCTGAATGGTGAATGATGCCAAGGAGTATGCTCTCTGTCCGAGGATGTCCAGTTTCCTACCCTCCTTATTGTTGGGTGTGGCGTTAGAACTGGTTCGACATCTAGCCTGTGTCACATGTACCACAACTGAGTTAGGAGGGGGGTGTTTAGCCAGCAAATCCATTTCAGTACCGTGCGTCTTATAAAGACATGACGTCTGGGGTACCGAGAAGGGTTTGTCCCAGACTTGCTTGAGCAAACGTAACACGGAAGGGATGAAGGCCATTCGCAAAGGAGGGGTCTGATCCCCGTTAATATCTTCATAGACTTTATCTGTCTCCACTTGGGGTGGTTGTTGAACAAATAGGTCTAATGCCTTGGTTATTCGTTGGATCAGGTTAGAAGTCAGCCGCTGGTGAAGTGGGATTTGTATCCCCAATATCTGAGTTGGGGGTGTTAGTCTTGGGTGGAGACTCCTGAGGAGTCCGACGAGTCTGACTCATATGAGTCCAGTCCTGAAGATAGAGACATGCTGGAGGGGAAATGACCCTTGTGGTGGTGGGTAGGCTGCATGGATAAGGCAGAAGTAGCCGAAGAACTCTTCTTTTTGTGCTTGGCACCGAGCTTGGTGCCAGAAGCGTCTGTACCGTGCGATTAGTCCAACTCCTCAAAGAGGGAGTGGTGTTGATGCCGTTTGGTGGGCTTCCTGGGTTCGACCGGAGCAGCCGAGGAAGTCTTTGTCTTATGCTTAGTATAAGGCTAGGTACCAGTGGCATCCGTATCGGCATCACTCGTATTACGATCTTTAGGCTTGGTACAGATGTTCTTGTGCTCGTCCGCCTTAGATTTCTTAATGGTTGACGGTACCGACTGGGAATCCTTCTTACATTTGGTCGGTACCGAGGGATCTTGTTGATGTCGAATCTGCTTACGTCCCATGGCACCAGAGTCTCTAGCAGGGGTAGATGAAGAGCAGTCATCCGAGGAGTCGGTATCGTGAGAGGATGACGATAAGAATGAAGAAGAGCTAAAGGGGTCAAACCCATAGAATATACTGGGGTCATACCACTGCTCCATTTCCCTGCCCAGTGGGTGTATTGTTTTCGTTGATATGGCATGGGTGGCCAATCATAAGATGGTTCCCGACTCCTCTTGTGTTTGGTTCAATGTTTACGAACCCCAGATTTTTTGGAGATCTTCAGCCTTGAATGCTTCAAAGGCTGGGAATCTCCAGAAGCCAGCACAACGTGCCGTGTCTTGTCCTTTTTCTTGACCATTACAAGGTCCAGCAGGCATGGTAATTCTGAGCCCGTTGCTGAATGTATAGGAGGTGGCGATCCTGGGTTCATCGGTACAGAGGACTTTTGGGACGGTACCTCAGGCATGGTGTCAGCAATGGGAGCCAGGAGCAGCGGGCAAGGCTCTCCATGAACCACGGGGGAAGAGCCCCTGACGGGTTTGAGGTGGGTCAGAAAGAGGAGAGCCAGCCGCTGTGGTGTTAACTGTTGTACGGGCGAGGAGGTAGCCTTCTTAGGTTTAGAGGAGGCAGTCTTTGATTTTAGTCTAGCGGATGATGCGGAGTGAGAGCGGGACTTAGATTTAGAAGTCTCAGGCTTGGGAGACTGGATAGGAGTCGCCATGGGGGACACAGTGGATCTAGGCAATGAAGGAGTGTCCATGTCTGGAGGCTTAAGAAAGTTCTCCCACAAAGAGGCGCTCAAACACAGCTCCCTCAGCTTCAAAGCCTGCTAGGTAAAACTCCTGCAATGGGCACAGGATTGGGGCAGATGGGTTTCACCCAGACAAAACAGACAAACCTGTGACTGTCTGATGTTGGTATCTTCTTACCACAGGAGACACAACTCTTAAAGGAAACCTTAGGGGCCCTAAAACGTGGGAAAGGGAGAAGGGAGGGGGGAGATTAATTCTACTAAACAATTTTTCTTGTGTTTTTTTTAAACACAGAGAAAAAAGAGAAAAATACAAACAGTAGACAATCAGCACAACTAAATGGATTCGATCCGAAGATTCCAACTCCCGCACGATAGAGCTCCAGAAGAAGAGAGACCTACTGCTGCAGCGGAAAAATAGAACTGAGGTAACCGCCTGGATGGGTGGGCCACGAGGGCTCCCAGGTGGGGCAGTCCTACCGGTTTTTTAGCTCCAGAATATTCCGAGGCCTCTGCACATGCACAGACTTAACCCATTAGTGTGCATTCACAGAGGCCACAAAGAAGATTGTGTACTATGTGAGAACAGACATATTTCTGCATTAAACCTGGTTAAAACTAAACTATACTCAGTGTAATGTAGTGGATAGAAAAGTGGAGTAGACCTCAGGAGACCTGGACTCGATTTCCCGGCTCTGTCATGGAAACTCAATGGAGGGCAGAATTGTAAACCCACTCACTGAATACCTCACTTACCTTAAAAACCCTATTAGGGTTGCTAGAAGTCAGTTCTGACCTGACAGCACATAACAACAACAAAACTATATTACATATCCAAAAATAAAAAATTCTTAACACTATAATTAAATGAACTACAGTGGGCCCTCGATTTACGAACTTAATCCATTCTGGAAGGAGGTTTGTAAATCGAAACATTCGTAAATAGAACCCAAATTTTCCATAGGAATGCACTGAAAATCTATTAATCCGTTCCAGCTGAAGAAAAAAAATACCCCCCAAAATAAAAAGAACACAGCATGCCAGGTCAGAAGGCACTGGGGTTTTAAAAAAAACAACCAAATACAGTAGCAGAGCTAGACCGGAAGGTGCTGGGGTGCAAAACAAAACAAAACAAAACCCCAAAATAAACATCAGAGCAAGTCCCACACTGGGACTGAAAAAAAAAATCACCATCCCCTGGCTGCAGCCAAGGTGGCGGCGGCAGGGCCGCAGCCATGGCGGAGGGCAAGGCCAGCAAGCGACCAGAGCGCCCTGGCCAGGTTCAGCCTCCCGACATTGCGGCAATGCCGCAACTCCAGAGGACAAAGGGAGCATTGGCTGCAGCCGAGGTGGCAGCGGCAGGGCCTCAGCCATGGCGGAGGGCAAGGCCAGCGAGCGACCAGAGTGCCCTGGCCAGGTTCAGCCTCCCGATGTTGCGGCAATGCCGCAACTCCAGAGGACAAAGGGAGCATTTTTGTTTCAGAGCGAGGGCAAGCCTGTGGAGCCAGCGAGGTGTCCCCTTGGTGCCTTCTTGGGGCTGCCCTCCTGCTCTTGCATCTCGGGACGCAGTGGCATCACTTCCTTGGAAGTGGAAACTCCACAGCCAGCAATGCTGGCAGCAGAGGTGAGGGAGGGAAATCTTGTGGAAGGAAAGGGCAAGGAGGGGAGCCGAGGCACCATGGCAGAGCCGGAGGGAAGAGCTGAGGAAGAGGGGTGCCGGAGGTGCGGGCAGGGGATTCCTCCACGAAGGGAGGTGAAGAATCCGGGCAGGGCTGGCTCTCCCGCGTGCTGTGGAAAGCAGGCAAAGCTCTGGATGGAGCCGTCTGGTGAAGCAGCTAAGAGGGAAGCCCACCCCAGCTCTCCCCGGGGCAGCCGGAAGAGAAAGGAGGAGCCAATTTCTCTCTGGCCACCTGGCTTGCTTCTCGTTTGGAAAAGCAAGGCGGGCTGCTGGGGAGAAATCGGCTCCCTCCTTTCACCCGATGCTGAGTCCCCTTCGCACCGGGCTGAGCTCAGCCTGGCGCAAAGGGGAATCAGCATCGGGTGAAAGGAGGGAGCCGATTTCTCCCCAGCAGTCCGGCTTGCTTCTGAAGCCAAAAAGGCAGGGAGTAAGGGCAGGAAATTCGAACTTCCCGTCCTTTCTTCCTACCTTTTTGGCTTCTGAGGCTTCAGAAGGCTTCCTCCAATGTCGGAGGAAGCCTTTTGAAAGCTCCAAAGGCAGGGAGGAAGGGCAGGAAATTCGAATTTCCCACCCTTTCTCCCTGCCTTTTGGGTTCGTAACCCAAAAGTTCGCAACTAGGGCCGTTTGTAAGTCGAGGGCCCACTGTATAGATATCCTTAAAGCCATCTTAGTACTAGTACATGGCAGAATTTGTAAAATGCCAAGCAGCAGGAAACACACACTTTGGATTCAGAGAAGGAACCAGCAAAAAACCATACTATACATTCTAGGGGAGAGATTCTATGAGAAGAATATGGATATGTCTACTTGCTTTGCAGACTGTAAAGAAGTTGTTTACCAAGTCCAACCAAGTGACCTGATGCAATTCTTGCTAAACAAAAATCTTGATAAAAGAGATTCGTATAACTAGCACCTGGTAACAAAAAGCTTCAAAAAGTTTATGATCAGATGATACAGGGCATAAAAACATGAAGAGTGGTACTGTATAGCAAGAAGATGTAAGAACATCTTTGAAAAGATGGTTCAAATGACAGTATAATGACAGTATAAAAGCAAAGCAAAAGAATAAAGAACAAGAAATCATAAAAAATACAAAATGCAAAAAGCTAGAATATTTTAGTCATGGAACAAGAAAAATAAGTGCAACAAAGAGAAGAAATTATTAGAGCTGACTTGGATGTAACACTACATCACTGTTTAGAACAGCCCCATTCAAAATTAAGATTTCTATGATGGTGTCTAGCCTTTAGTAGGAGAGGAATCAGAAGGAGAAAAACTGTAAATTATGCACACAAATACAAATAGCAATAAGGTACCAATGGAGGTACCTTTATAATTTATTATAAAACAATCTATTTTTTTAAAAAAAAATCCACATTCTAGTAAGAACAAAACAAGACATTCCATGAGAGAGCCCTTTTGGATCATCTTATGTTTCCTTTTTAAGTGAAATTCAGACATGAGGGTTGTCAATGTGATTGCAGCAAGAACTATGTTCAACCAGTAATATTTTCCAACAAAACAATCTCAAGACTGATATTTATTGAAGAAAACGGTGGGATGAAGGGATAAAACATTCAAATCTACAGGCCCTGCTTCAGCCAAAATGGCGGGGCACCATGAATCCATCTAGCTATATTTAACTGAAAAAATTGGAAGAACGCTCAAGATTAAAGAACTTTGACATAAAAGAGGGACTGTACTGTTAAGTGGGGAAAACCCCAGTATTAGGAACTCTTAAGAAATTTCACTGAAAAAAAACAAGGGGATACTTAAAACCCAGGGTCAAAGCAAATTTGACATGCTATATTATTTAAATAGTTTTTACTATTGTGAAACAACAGATACAAAGGACGGGAAAGCCCACTCCCACTCTACTTTTACAGAGAACACTTTTGCCCAAAATAGAAATATTGGAACTTTTGGAGGACAATAACTTCTAAGGGATACTGTTTCTTTCGGAATAAATTAATTGCTTATGATAAAATGAGTACTATATTTGTGACACAATTTAGAACATTAGATAATAAACTGTGTGCATTCTTCAGAGTTCTATATTTTCAATAGTTTCATGTCATTCATGTTACTACTGACCACTACTCTTAATTTCAAACAGATGTAGAACAGAACACACACACACAAACACACACACACAGCTCATTTAGAAATAACCCACATTTCGATTATACCCCCTTTTGGCTGCAGATAAGGAATAACCTTTTAGCCTTTTGTTTCTGATCATGGGGTGTTCTTGGCAAAGATACTGGAGTGGCATTGCCATTTCCTACTCCAGGTGGATTGCATTTAGTCGGAACTCTCCACTATGTCCTGTCCGTCTTGGGTGTCCCTGCACAGCATAGCCCATAGCTTCTCTGAGTTACTCAAGCCCCTTCGCCATGACAAGGCAGCAATCCATGAAGGGGACCATGAAGAAAGCAGACCACCGAAGAATTGATGCCTTTGAATTGTGGTGCTGGAGGAGGCTCTTGAGAGTCCCCTGGACTGCAAGGAGATCAAACCTATCAATTCTAAAGGAAATCAACCCTGAGTGCTCACTGGAAGGACAGATCCTGAAGCTGAGGCTCCAGTACTTTGGTCATCTCATGAGAAGAGAAGACTCCCTGGAAAAGACCCTGTTGTTGGGAAAATGTGAGGGCAAGAGGAGAAGGGGACGACAGAGGATGAGATGGTTGGACAGTGTCATCGAAGCCACCAGCATGAATTTGACACAACTCCGGGAGGCAGTGGAAGATAGGAGGGCCTGGCGTGCGCTGGTCCATGGGGTCACGAAGAGTCAGACACGACTAAACGACTAAACGAAACGACGAACGAAGGAATAACCTAATGCTCCCCAAAATAAGCAAGAACCTCTTTTTTGTACACAGAAACTAGCAGACCAGAAAATAAAGCTAGTAGTTCTACTTTGCATTCTACACGAAAATATCCTGTCTTCATGGGCAGAGAACATTTTTGTTGGTTGGTTTATTTCTATATAGGGGAAGGAGGAAAGTTTTCAACCTGTATTTGAAGCATAACATTGTACAGTACAGTGCAGGAAGGACTGTTGTACTTAACAGTTCAAAGTATGTCGTTCAAATCTCCATTTCAGTACATACATTTCATGAATTACAGTAGATTTCTTCATTTATTGATTTTTCTTGAACAAATATCAAAGCAATTAGTACTTTAGAATTTGCAAACAATTACTTGTGCGAGTGTCATATTTTTCTTCAGAAGAACCTAGAGTAAAGATGTGATTGATATTTTTACAATAATATAAGATTTACCTCCTACATTGTTCTTGTAGGTATTATACAATTCTTTTACTCTTCTGTAGCGGAATGCCAGCTTCCTCATCCAGTCAACTCCTCCTCTTACACCTGTTGGCAGACAAAGGTTTGCACTACTTGCAGCTGCATGGAAGCCATCAGTTGCAAAACTGTAGGTACTGCAAACACCCAAAATATGCAGAAGTGAATACTTGTTCTTCCTACAAAAATATATTCATTTAATTTTATTATAATTTTTTTTAGGCATGGTATACCTTAGGTCTTGTCCATTGTCATCTGAAGAAACATCATCTATGTGTACTTGATCACATTCCTGTTGAAAGTGTATAGAAAAAAAGCAGGTACTGATAAACCTTGTTGTCAAATCTACATGGTGTGGTAATATTTCAAGGCATTTAACAGCTCTATAAGCACTTTTACTGCCAGAAGATGGCAGAATTTGCATGTTGAAAGTTTCATTAAGTCAGGTCCTCATTCTTTGAATTTCAACAGATTTCACACTGCTGTAATCCTGAATGTATGAGGTAGCCAACATTTTTAATCAATTCCATAAAGCAAAAAACCTTTAATGTTTTTAGCAGATCAGTGTTTTCTGCTCGCCACTAGTTAGGTAAGTATATGTGTATTTACATATACTGTTTATACACTACAAACAAATATAACACAATTATTAACAGCTGCTTTGTACTGCAGAGCCAAATCAATAAAAGAAAAACTGTACTACAAGAATAGTTCACAACAATGTATATTATATATATGATACAACTAATAACCTCTTAAAACCATTTCTAAATAGCAATTGCTTCTGAAGCCCTGTTACATTAACCATTTTATAAAAGTGATTGTGTCTTCCAGAAACAAAACTGAACACAGATCAACCAAACAGACAACTTGCAATAAAATCTTATAGATCTACATTAGTCAACTAAGTCAGGGTAGATTTATGTTTTAGGAGGTCTCCAGGCTAGTTATTCTGAATCACTTCAACCCTTCTGCTGAAGGGAACGCATCAAATTTCCTGGTAGCCATGAAGAGGATGTTTCTGACTCCAATCATTTCCTCCCCAAAGATTCAACTACACATATACACTGTACTGGTTCTGGCAGTTTCTTTTGGTGCTGGATGGGATAAGTGAGTCTGGGGTGGGTGAAGTTAGGAGAGTTCATTTGTCATGGATCAATCACTATCTTGTTGAGTTTAGGCTCATCAACACTTCAAACACACACAGGCTGGTTCAGAGAAAGCTCAAACCAGGATCATACAAATAGTATTTTATCCAACTTGTATCTGAATACTTGATACAGAGATTGAGTTTGATCCATCCTAGGCTGGTTTTGAAGTGGCCTGAATCAATCTGTTCTTCGGCTTGTGCACATATTCGAATGCTTCCAGAGGACGGACTGCAAATGGGGAAACAAAGGGCTATGGCCTGGGAAGGGAGGCACTATGCAATGCTGTAAGTTTCGGGAATGTAGTAGATTTTGAGTGTGCAGGCAGTGGTCCTATCAGATTCCTTTTCTCCCTTCCTCAGGGAACTACACACTATACTACTTGCCCAGCTACCATCTTCAATGGATTTCCCCTTTGTTACCTGGGCATTGTTGTATTAGAAGCTAGAAAACAATGCTGAAGATTAGACTTATCTAATTAAAGCAGACACAATAGAGAACATCAGGGGCTTCCTGAACCATGCCACAGCTAATATGAAAATGTACAAATTTCCCTGCTCTGACCCATCTGGACATTTTTCTCCAAAGTCACTGCACAACCCCTACACTAGAAGCCCCCACCCGCAGGATTTCTGTCTTGTCCGGGTTTAGCCTCAGTCTATTATCCTTCATCCACCCCAGCACAGCTCAAGGGATCTGGTCCTTCTCTGTTGAGAAGGGTGGAAAGAGAGATAGAGCTGGGTGTCATCCACATATTGATGATGACAATATGACAAAAAGCTCCTGATGATCTCCCCCAGTAGCCTCATATAGATATTAAATAGCATTGTGGAGATGACTGAACCCTGTGCAACTGCACAACTGAGAGTCCACAGAGCAGAAAGCATTTCCCCAAGCTGCACTCTCTGAGGATGGTCCTCCAGGAAGGACCTGAGCCAGGCCAAATTCAAACCTCCAATCCCCATCCCAGAGAGCCTCCCCAGGAAGATACCATGGTTGACAGTATCAAAGGCCGCGGATAGGTCAAGGAGGAACAACAAGGACATTTTGCCCTTGTCAATCTCCAATGCCATCTCCATGCCATGACGTGGCCTGAACCTAGACTGGAAAACCAGTCTGTTATTATATATCTATTTCTAGAAAACTTGTTTCCTTATTCATGGTGAAAAAGATCTGTCATACTTTACCTATGTATCTTGAATCTATTGATTTTAGTTTTATGAATGGTCACTGGAAGAGGTACACAATGGCTGAATGCACATGTCTAGTACACAAAACATGAATCACTAAGGAAATCCCATTATGGAACCAAAAATGTGCTAATCATACAGAATATGGATTCTTCTGAATGCATTGGCCCACAGTAATTTCCTGATGGCTCTTTGGAAATTCTCTGTTACTTAGAGAAGTATTGTCAATGTCCTAATTGAGCTCTGGAAAATGAAAATGACCCAGGTAGTTGAAATAATTGCTCCTGAACATTCTGTATCTGGCTGTGGAGTTAAATTAGCTTCTTGGATGGCAGATGCCAATTAAATTACATAGACATGGGCAAATAATGGTGACAGAAGACCATAACAAATTTGATTTTAGATAAAAGCTAGAGGTCTTGTGAGTCTATTCTTTAGTGATGATAGCAAGAAATAAATCTGGCTTTAATAATTAA